TGGCATGTGGTGCTGGGGGATTGAACCGCAGTCCCTGATGCTTTGATAAGCTTGTTCCAAGTAGGTGCTTTAGACCACTGAGCCATCTCTCCAGCCCTAGTCTTTCTTTTTGCTGGGACAAAGTAGCCAACATACCCAATATCCACAGCTTAGGAGAGGAGGCTTATTTTCACTCAGAGCTGTTATAAAGGTCAGCTGACAGTGAGGAGACAGAAATGGTGGTAGAGGCAGGCAGAGGAGAAAGGGCAACCGGGAGACCAGATGGGGAAGGGAGCCACTGAGAACGGGAGTGGGACTGCTGGTCACACAGCAGGCTCGTGCGCAGACTTCTGAGGAGCAGCTGCACTGCTCCGCTTCCCTACCAGCTGTGCCCATGCCTTCCCACTCCTCCACACCCTTGCCCACACCTGCCCTTCATTGCTTTTCTTTCCCAGATTAGCCAGCCCTCAATGTGACGGAGCTGCCCCTGTGGCTCTGCAGCTGGAACCCAGCGTTGTCAGGGATCCCTTGGGGGTGCTCACGGCCTGGGCCTGAGTCTCTCTGACGCTCCAGGCCCTCCCGGTAGGTGCTCCGCAGAGTCACGTCATCCTTCAGCCTGGTTTGGCATCTGCCTTCTGGAGGATTCCAGGGCCGCACTCAAGTTGTTTGCCTGAATCCCACGCCTGCCCTCAGGGCCGGCAACCTCGGGCAGGCCACTTCCTGCCTGTTCACTCCACTCTGTGGGATGGAGGTGGTGTGAGGTCACCGTGTGCTGGGGCAGTCCCAAGGATTCTGAGCCTCCGTGAGGGCCTGAACTCCGTGGATGATCAGTAGCCTTTCTGGTTTAAGAAACAGGCATTGGGGCCGGGGAGATGGCTCAGCAGAATAAGCGCTTCCCTGGCAAGCACAAGGGCCTGAGTTCAGTCCCCGGTTCTGAAAAAAAAAAAAAAAAAGAAAGAAAGAAAGAAAGAAAGAAAGAAAGAAAGAAAGAAAGAAAGAAAGAAAGAAAGAAAGAGACATGGAGTTTATCTGCTATCTTGTTTTCTACATTCTAGTTTTTAATACTTCCAGGGGACTTCCTGTTTTTTCTCCAAGTCTATATTTTCTCTTTGCCTCTCCATGTTTTTAGTTAAACTTGTGTTTTATTTTATGACCTAGATAAGCATGATTATTTCTTGGCTTACAGAGTTCAGAAATGAACAATGTCCATTGACCACGAGTAGCATTTTGGCAGGTGGCTTTCGTGGGAAGAACCAGGGCTGGAGCAGATTGTGGGGGGTGTCTGCCACCAGGGTGGGCAGAGATGGTGCTCAGAGTGGCTATGCTGCTCCAGAGAAGGGCTGGGAAGGGTCAGTACATTCTGTCGGCCGTGGAGTGACATGGACATAAGACAAGACCGAGTACTGTGCCCTGAGTGCCCTCACATCCAGCAAAGAGAAGGTGCTTGGCGACAGAGGGGCGCACAGGACAGCAGGAGGGAACCCAGGACCGTACAGTCTGTAGGCTGAGTGGGAGGAACAGAGCCAGGTGACAAAAAGGAGAATCCCAGTGACTTCCAGAGGAAGGAAGAGTAGGGACCCTGGGCTGAGGAGAACCCATTACATCCAGGTGCTGCTGCCCCAAAACAGCTGCTCAGCCTCCACTAGAGAGGTCGAAGGGAGATATCTTCAAGGAGAATAGAGCATGTGTGGTGGGAGCCGGCTGCCCTCCTGAAGCAGGCGGGCATTAGCCAGCCCACAGCAAGACAGCTCAGGAAATGGGGGCGCATGCTGTGCGGGACACCAGATCCCATGGTGAGGGAAGCAGGACGCACTGGGCACTCCCCTGCGCAGGTCCTACATCTGGCAGACTCCCACAGTGGGCAGACATGGGTGGGGCCAAGGCCCTGAAGGAGCCTGGCTGAGGAGGACCCTGCCTCAGGCTGCCCAACACCCCTGGGGGCCCTAGGCCCTTCTGGCCACCAGAATAGTCCCCCTCATCTCACTGGTCCCGCACCCACCAGCAGGATCTCCAGGAATGACCCAGATTCCTACTGCGGCCTCTGCACCTAGAAAATAAAATGTGTGCAAAAGTTGGCTTTTTCAACATGAAGGTGAGGGCTAAAATCAGTGTAAAACTTCTCTTCCTCCTGGGGCCGTCCTGGAGCCTGCAGGCAGAGCTGGCACTGTGCAGAGGGATGGGACTGCCCTCGGGGGCCAGTGGGGCAGTGGGGAGCACCAGGCTGGGCATCAGTCATACACCACTGAAGGGCAGCCCTTGCTGGGCCATTCCCGCCACCTCCTGGCTGCTCCTGCAGTCTCAGCTGTCCGTCTGCAGCCAGGACTGGTCAGGGTGCTCCCTGCTGTGGGGAGCAGGTGCCCTTCCCCTGGGCACAGCTGATGGGCAGCCACCTTCATGCATGCTGAGGGCTAAAGGCTCCCCCAGCCCACAGGCAGCAGAGCGGGGTCTGGGACGGGTTGAGGCAGGTGTTGGGCTCTCTGGAACCCATTCTCAGACATCCCTGGCTCTGCCTCCAGCCGGACTGCCCAGGGCACAGGTGCCAGCACAGCCTTGGGCACAGAGGTTAGGCACAGCCAGACACTGAACCAGACCCCCACCCGAGGCCCCTAGTGAGGCTGAGGCCAAGGGTATGCAGCCTGGCAGATAGAGCCTGAGGCAAAGACTGTCCTGCCTGCCACAGCCACAGGCCAGGGCGAGTACCGTCAAACATGGGTAAGTTTTGATTTCATGCAGCATCCATTGATCTTGTGTTTGCCAAGAGCTGAGGGCAGAACTGTGCTGTGCTCCAGTTTGCAGCCTCAGGCCATATCCAGCAAGTACACAGACTAAGGGACGTGCTATACACCTTGGCCCCTGGCTCAACAGATGGGCCCGACCACCCTCCTGTGTCACTGCGTGGGACCTGACCAGTTGCTCCTGGACTCAGGGAAGCCACTTGGTGGTGTTGCGACTTGATGCTTGGGTGTGGAGGCTGAAGACTGGGCTGTGTCTCAGCAGGTTGTTCCTGTGGTCTAAGGTTCTGAGCAGGCAGGGCTTGGCATGGGAAGGCAGCACCTGTGGCCAAAGTAGCAGTTTCAGCTCATCCCCCATGGCAGAAGTGTGGCCGGGGTGTCCTGGGCCCCTCAACAGGCAGGACCCTTGCAGAGGCTTGGGTGGTGGAGAGGCTCTGCCTGGAGCACTGGACACCTGTGGGCCCCAGCCAGCCCTGCCCTCAGAACCCCCCAGGGGTCCCAGGTGGTGGGCATGGCCAGGGAGCTCGAAAGCAGCAGCTGATAGCTGTCACCCTCTGTTGCAGCACACCATCTCTTCCTAGTCACTGCCTGCCAGGATGCCCACTACGGTGCCCTCATGCAGGAGCTGTGCCTCAGCCGCTTTCAGAAGGACATGGAGGCCATGGGGCGTACACTGTGGTGTGACTGGGGCAAGACCATTGGGTGAGTCCTGTGTCCTGGGGGCAAACGGGCTGGGTGGGGGCCGGCAGCGTGCCATGATGGTGGGTGACTGTGCCCTGGATGACAGCTCAGGTGGCCTGGGGGTACTAGGGAAGCAAGAGAGAGGGGATCCGATTAAGCTGAGGATGCCCATGACCATCCCGCTGTGGGTGTCTTGGGGCAGCAGAGCCCAGCTCCATGCCAGGACCATGGTGCCACATCTCATGACAGAGCTTCCTGTGACCAGACCAGGGCTGGTCACTCCTCACCAGGTTCCCTCCTTTCAGGGCTCAGAGCTGCCTGGGGGGCAGCTGCAGTGCTGGCTGCTCTGCTCCCATGTGGCGGCACCGCTGCCTGAGTCCTGTCCTCCTGCTCGCAGGGCTCCCTGCCGTCTCTGGGGCCCAGGTGTCCGCAGCAGGTGCAAGGGCCTGCCAGCTAGGCTGGGCTGTCACCTTCCTCATTTACTGTCCATGCCTTGCTGCTGCTCTAGGGTGGAGCCCCAGGTCCTGGGCAGCTGTAAAACCCCAGGGCAGGGCCCTGTGCACAACACAAGCAGGTGCATAGCCCTGGTGTCTTTTCTTCTGGTGACCAAGGCGGGGCAGGATGGGACCTTTGGCAATACTCGTGGGGGCTGAGGGCCAGGGGAAAAGCCTGGGAGTTTCCACCGGGGAAGAGTGCAGCCAGTTCCTCCACAAGATGTGCAGGGAGCTGCGCATCTCCCCAGGGTCTGGGGCTCACTCAGTTTCTGGTGGGCACTGGCCAGGGCAGTGGGATGAAGGCCCCTCCCAGGGGCAGAGTTGGAGGGTGCATGGGTGAGCACAGTCTGGGAGGTGGGGGATCACTTTGCCTTGCTGCCTATGGAGCCTGGCCTCCCTGTGGCCCCACTCTGTCTGAGAGGGTGGACGAGCAGCTACCTGCTTGTCTTCCCGCAGACTCATGCCCATCTTGGGGTCCTTTAGTTCAGGGCCTGAGCGCTCCCAGTTCCTGCTTGGTGGACTGCTGTCGATTCTTTACCTTGGGAACAGAAAATGGGCAGGCGTGGTGTCTGTGTGCGCAGTGCTGCAGCTGGGAACTCATATCCCTGCTGCATGCCCTGTGATTGAGCCCAGGGTGCAGAGTAGCCACTGGGGAAGAGAAAGTGTGGCCGAAGCCGGGCCCCAAGCCTCATGACCTGGGACCCTTGATGGGACACAGTCAACCCAGGAGGTCCTAGCAAGGACCCTGTGGGGTGTTCTGGGCTCCTGGCAGCACCCCCAGCCAAGTCCTCACCCTCCTCTCGATCTGCTGCACCCTGGCCGGGCCTTGAGTTCTGAGTGAGTTGGGTGCTAGAGAGACCAGGTTGCGAAAACTGATAGAACAGCCTGTTCCTCAGGCTAATTGGCATTCTTCTGGCTGAGTAGCTTGTGCTTAAATTATTTATTTTTTATTTTTAATCTTTTATTTATTTGGTACAGGGTCTCACTATGCAGCTAGGACTCATAGTGATCTTTCTGTCTCAGCCTCCCCAGCACTGGGATTGCAGGTGTGTGTTATCATGCCTGATTTCAGTGGCTGGCACAGCATGCCCAGGGTTCCAGGGTTGGCCCAGCAGGCAGCACTGGGATCAAACTGGGGTCCTTGTGCTTGCCAGGCAAGCACTTAGACTGCCAAGCTATCTCCTGAGACCCAAAGGTTGCATTTATCATGGCCTCGGAGGTGCAGCAGGCCCTGGGGATGCAGAGATGGCCAGAGCTGTGCAGCAGGCCCTGGGGATGCAGAGGGCACCAGGGCTGTGCAGCAGGTCCTGGGGATGCAGAGATGGTCAGGGCTGTGCAGCAGGCCCTGG